AATATGGTTCATAACAAAACTCAACATTAAGGTTCATAACAAAACTCATCATTAAAGTTGATAACAAAACTCAACAATATGTTTTATAACAAAACTCAACAATATGTTTCATAAAAAAAACTCATCATTAAAGTTCATAACAAAACTCAACAATATGTTTCATAACAAAACTCAACAATATGTTTCATAACAAAACTCATCATTAAAGTTCATAACAAAACTCAACAATATGTTTCATAACAAAACTCAACAATATGTTTCATTACAAAACTCAACAATATGTTTCATAACAAAACTCAACAATATGTTTCATAACAAAACTCAACAATATGTTTCATAACAAAACTCAACAATATGTTTCATAACAAAACTCATCATTAAAGTTCATAACAAAACTCAACAATATGTTTCATAACAAAACTCAACAATATGTTTCATAACAAAACTCAACAATATGGTTCATAACAAAACTCAACAATATGTTTCATAACAAAACTCAACAATATGGTTCATAACAAAACTCAACATTAAGGTTCATAACAAAACTCAACAATATGTTTCATAACAAAACTCAACAATATGTTTCATAACAAAACTCAACAATATGTTTCATAACAAAACTCAACAATATGTTTCATAACAAAACTCAACAATATGTTTCATAACAAAACTCAATAATATGTTTCATAACAAAACTCAACAATATGTTTCATAACAAAACTCAACAATATGTTTCATAACAAAACTCAACAATATGTTTCATAACAAAACTCAACAATATGTTTCACAAAAAATTCAACAATATGTTTCATAACAAAACTCAACAAAATGGTTCATAACAAAACTCAATAATATGTTTCATAACAAAACTCAGCAATACTAAATAGTCTAAAAAAATTCTCAAAATCTTTGACTAAATGAAATATCGATAATAAATCTCGGTAATTATATATAAATTCTGATAGAGTCTTCCCCCTAAACGGAGTTACGTCCCTTGAATACGTTGAAATGATGTGTTGAAGTGTTGAATAGAGATAATATCCTTGCTGTACTTTTATATTGTATATACGACAGAGAGTCTGATTGTTTATGTTAATGTTTAAGTATAACGTAAAGATAGATCACTTCTGTTTGCATAACGTGCAATCATAGTATAATTTAGGATTCACGATTTTGGGCAACTAATGGATTATCAATAACACATAAAGAATTTACCTATTGTCTTTTCCTGGATTATTAAATAAACAAACAAACAAATAAACAAACAAATAAAAAACAAAAACAAAAACAAAACAACACAAGACAAAAATCCCAACGAAATCGTGTTTGCCTCACATGAGATTTTGCCTGCAACGAATTTGATTCCCTGTTTTACTTAGCACGTTTTATATCAGAACACTTCTGTGTGTTGGATTTATCGCCCCGTGAACAATATATCAATGCACTTAGAAAATCGTTACTACATTCTCCAAATAAAAAAAATGATTTCTTTTTATTCTCCTGCATCCTTCAATGTCACCATGCAATTTGATTTAGTGTCTTTATGCTCAGTATGACGTCACAGTAGTCTATGACGTCATGAATGTAGTTGATGGTTATTCCAGGTGAAAGTAAACCAGGGCACGGGGTACCACGTGATTAACAATTATACAAGTAGATACTTTTGGAGTACTGATAAGTATTATTTTCTGTCGTAAGTGTCGGAAAAGATGATTCCTATCACGATTGTATTTAAAAAATTACTTCAGAATATCGTCTGTTTGCATGAAAGTTTAAGACATACAAGATCATAATTGAGCTTTCACATTAGATTTTATGAGACGAGACTTTTTTGTTACAATTTTTATCAAATAACTCAGAAAAGTTACATTTTGACAGGTTTCAAAATGAGTCTGCCATTTTTGTTTTCTTTGTAATTTCCAATTTTCAATTCATGGCGTAACGTCAGTGTCCAAATTATGACTTTTGACTGGCACAGCCAATGTAGAACGCTTCGATTTATATTACACTAGGACATATACGCAAAAATATAACACCTTTGAATAAACTGGAAAATAAGCGGATTATGTGATAAAGTGTTTTTCAGTATTATAAATATGTCATCTTGAAATTTGTTGATATATAGATGCTTTATTGTAAGGAAAGGACAATATATAAGTTATTTAACTTATGCCAAATCCCGTTGCTATCGAAGGGAATAAATACATGTATGTTTAAATCAATCAATGGCTATTTCGCTAAAAATGTGCTTGTGTAAATACAACGTAGTGGTGCGGGGATACATTTAATGGAAGACGAGAAAGGAGAGAGATATAACAGATAATAATGAAATTACATAAAGTAATGATTAAACAGACGAACTGACGATAAAATATACAATCTAGCAATCCACGTGACAACACAACGTGTAAAAATAGATTAAACAGGTGAAAAAGTTTAAAATTCGGAATCAGCATAAAACGGATGAAATAATAAGCACTGAAATTAATATAGGAAAAGATGGTAAAAGAAAAATCTACAAATAGATGATAAAACAGACACTTACAACTTTAACACCATTACTATAACAATGTCAGTTCTTCTACACGAATTTCTCCTATTTGCTGATAAAAACTGATATTTTAGGCGTGTTTTGAACAAAATTCCAGGTTCAGTATAGATCTTTTGACGATTTTGTAACAAAACACCTATTAACTCCAGTATTTAAAGTTTAAAATAAGGATACATTTACTTACATATATTTAAATTTATCTATTAAAGTAATCGAGATCACTTTGTTTGTATCCGTTTGGTGATATATATATATATATATAGACAGACATATTTAAGCTTATAAAATGATATTGAAATATATATATACGCACAATAAGGGTAAAATTTTCAATCAAAGATAGCCATACCTAGGATGACCAAACCTTCATTCCGTATGCAATAGTATATGAGATTTTATATTTAATACATATATATACATCATAACAAAAATATTGTACAAGATGGCGAAGAACATCAGCCACCAGATATTTATATATAAATATATATGCATGTATAAAAATACAAAAAACACGAATAAGACAGAATCAACTACGTCATAACATTATGACGTCATCATGAAATTAATAACAAGCAACCTCAACAGGAAGCTGGTTAATAAAATATCATAAGTCCACAATATTCTATTTGTACCAATATAGAAATTTATTTAGAATGTGCACTATTTTACCTCACAACTTTATGAGTAAGGAAATCAACATATAATATGTATTAAGTAACTCATGTTTACAATAATAACTTTCTCTATGCCGTATTAATTACATTGTCGACTTTTTTTTTTTAAGATTCGCTTACGTTGATTTAGTGTTATTAACCGACATATTTCAACCGGAATACTATCCTTCTGTGATCACGGGCTTACAGATAATGAAATTCGTTGATATTTCCATGTACTCAAAACTTTATTATGAGCTCCAAGAGATTTTTATGATCGTTTTTTTTGGCACAATATACAGTTGTTCCAGTCTTCATATATATAGGCAATTATCCTCTCTTACACCCTCAGTATCACTCTTTGTTTTCCTATCCTTATTTTTGTCTCTATCCTTTGTTTTTCACATATACTAGTACACAAATCAACGTTTACATCTTCTCTTTTCCGCTTGTTGTCGTGTGACATGTGCCTCAGAAAAGGAGGCGGATTAATGTAAGTTGAAAAACTTGTTTCCGAATCCAATCAATATGTAATTGTCTTATATAATCGTGATATATATGTACATATCAATTAATAAAATAAAGTTTATATTAATACACAAATGAGATAAACAAGGAAACTAATCGACAACAAGAATAAAAGATGAGAAACCAGTTCTAAGATAGCTATTTAACAAAGCGTGTTGACATTCGATTCATTTTTTTTTTACATTATCAGTTTGATTCCCAATAGCCTTATATATGTACAACATGACATTAACTTCGTTAGGGCATAACCTATACTGTTGGTAATATCTCTCACCAAATGAACTATTAAATGTACAATATGGATAAAGAAGCTCGCCTCCTTAAACTGTTTTTGCAAACAAAAATGTGAATTCATTCAAAATGACATCATCGTCGATTGCGTTCATGTATAATCATTTTGATTTCTACACAAAGAAAATATTTATCAAAATTCAATATTGTTTTGAAAAAAATAAATAATTGTTCAACGATATAGAAGCCAAACAGAAGCGGAAGAAGATAAATATAACATCTAAGGTTTTCTGACCGATAAGACGATTTCTCTTAGTGCTATATGATTGATATTTAAGCAAAATAAGGAAACAGATTTGAAATCTTTTGGTAAATTAAAGAATCATGTTTTAACGATAAAATTCAGCGTTAAATTTGCATCACCATATCTATATATATAAATGCTCGCAGTAACTATTTGACAAGGAAAGCTCTTTACTAAATTCGGTAGCTGTACTACCAAATACAGAGATTAAGCTCTATACAAATCTGCCAATCAGAAACATGAGAGCGATATCGACAGCGTGCTGGGTTCCCTTATTTACATAAGACTTCATTGCTCCACCCCTTTATGCTAATGACGATAACAGGAGATATAATCTATGAGAGTGCTCCCGTTATCGAATGTTGTCGAGGTGTTTGGACTGGTAAATTGTGACAAAGTTTGACGTTTGGTACAAATATTTTGACTTTTATGGACATTGAACGATTTGTGTGGTAAATGATCCGAGATATAAAAATAGAGAAAGTTGTATTTTCCGGACAGTGTCATTACCGGACTGGAAAAACAAAATCAGCTTCATGTTGTGACGGATAAACAAACTTGTGCGCGGGTAGGACTCGTATCTGAAAGTTGTCTGTACAGAAGATATCGACATCATTCAACGAAGGAAATGAAGTTTTCTCCTGGACGATATTCAGATTGAAACAGAATTAATATATGTATTTCTTTACATTTTAAAAAGGAATAAAACATTTTGTAAAACAAAGACGATCTGATGCATTTCACAACGAAGATGGATAATTCTCGCAAATCGTTCAGCATCGACGCTTTGTTGTCGAAATCCTCATCCGTTTCAACACCCAAGAAAACTTCAGACTCTGAACATCGTTTTCATTCTAAATCACCATTAGTATCACCTGTGGTAACTCTAGGGTCGCCTAGACCCTCGTCTTCAGGTTCTAGCCACCGAAGTAACAGTCCTGACTCGAGCTTATCCCCTTCCGGATCCGGTGGTTTCACATCCGGCACGTTTATTCCCCGCCCAGGACTTTTAAATACACAGCATCCAGCTCTATTACATCAACATTCGGTTGCAATACAAGGTCTCCTGCATGCCCAACAGATGTACGGGGCGTTTAATGGACACGCAAGTGGGCATAATGGAAGCGGAAGTGGTGTTCCCATGTTTTCCGGAAGTGCTTTCCACAGTCCTGCGGATCATGCATATAAACTTTCACAACACGCGCAAAATATCCAGCCTTACCTGAATGAGTGGTTTGCACGTGGCGGCATGTTGATGCCCCGTATGATGGATTACACAGGTGAGTGACGTCATTGGTTCGGGAAAAGAATATGAAAACGGATAAGCCTAGGAGAATAAGTATTTTATTTTAGGAGTTTGTGTATCATATTGAATTGTACATCAAGTATTTTATTCTTTTAACATCAACAACGTGTGGACAAGGTATGAACATTATTTTCATACGAGAAGAAAATCGAAGGTTTATAAGAAAAATAGGGAGAAAATTTAAACTTTTCCAGTGTGAGAAAAGGGGCGTATGATAAATTCTATTATGCACACCAGGTTAGAAACTCATTTTATCATCCAAATAACCGATTCATCATCTACTATCCATTAGATACATTGCAATAATCCAACTTCAAGAATAATGTTGTATAATATAAAAACATACAAACACTGCTTTTCCAGTTACCAGCGAGATACATTTTAACGTAAAACTTAAATTGCTTTTTTCGTTAAGAATGGTCGAAAGTTTTACTTTGAACATTTTTTAAGCCATTTTTTCTATCAGATGGTATGTGTACAAATTATTATTATCTTACAGTTAATAATATTGATTCATTCCTACATGAAGCTAAAAAATGCACGTTTACGTGTCTGTTTTTTTCCCAGAGACTTAAGTTTAAATATGTATCTAGTTCACAAGCATTTTGTGTGTAAATGTGTATTTATGTGTAATTTTTCAAATACATTTCTTACAACTTTCTTGTTTATAATTTTTAAAGAACGTTTATTTCAGTTCAAAGTCTTATATATGAATAAATTAATACTATTAAAAATATCAATATTTCAAGCTTGATTTTAATTGCACACTCCTTGCGTATATTTCTATCAGAATACTCTTCATTTACTTAAAGTTAAAACCGCTTCAATAGTTTCTATTATTAATCGTTTTTTTAAATGTTCACTTTGATGAGGGAATTCAAGAAATTTCAATCCGATTTTGCAAACAAGAAAAAAGTTTGCTAAGTTATGAATATCAATAAGCACATACACAGTGAGATATTTTGTTCTTAGGGAAATGTAATGTGGAATAAAAAAAAGTTAATGTAAAATTAAACAACTAAATAGCTGTATTTAATATTAATTCGTTCGACGAAAAAAAAATCCTCGACCAACCTGACATGTGCTTAAAGAAAATCTTTGATGAGTTAATTTAACAAAATTAATATCTCTTTTAGTAGCAGCCGTTGTTAGGATACATATTGAATATTCACACACAAGCAATAACCAAAGACATCCTTACTTTGAAAAGTAGGATAGATTATTACATAAAATAATTTTGTTTAAGAAGAATACATTGTACTTGTAAACAGAAAATGCTATTTTGATATAGGTTTGATTTATTAGTATAACACTATGGTAAGTAGTACCGTTAAACGTGTACGAAAGAGCCTTCGTAAAATACGACACATGTTACTGTTATTTTAATGGCAGGCTGTGTTTTGTCAATCCGACCTTCAATGTGTATAATTCGATATATAATTAGACAATACAAATGCCAAATACACTATACAGTAGTATTACCGTTAGATGATATATATCGCTTTGTTTACCTTATGCTAGAAATAAATAAATCCACGTCACTATTTCAGAAATTTTCGCTATAATAGGAGAAACTCAATCAAGTGTATCCCATATTTACTCAGACTAAAACGCAAAAGAAATTAAAAAAAAAGTAAAAATGGAGAGAGATTCTGTGTATAATAGGTAGGCATATTATCAAAATATACATGTGATACCATTAAAGTATCAGAAAAAAAAACCCAACAAAAAACGGTAAAAGACACATTTCAATATTTAGAAATATATATAGATACACTAAATACCAAAATGATAAATTAAACAGCAGTATACTGCTGTTTCGTCTATTATTCATTGACTGTCTGTTTCTGACATCCACGCTAATATTTTCTTAATGCGATATATACGCAATATATTTTATTTCAATCTGATCAAATATTTTTCTTGTATCGACCAAAAGTTCACTCGATAATCATTTTCTATTTGACTTTTGTTATACCACGATCAATATGAAGATAGACGTGAGTTTCAGACCAGTTTGGAAATTCAAATAATTGAAATTAATTCTCAAGTATGCATCTAATTTTAATTACTTTATTTACAATCAGAAAGAAAATATCGCGACACAATGGAGAGATTCACTGGTGTATAAGAAGGTGGATCCTGATTCGAAAAAAAATTGACAGAAGTTAATACATTTTTATACATGTGTATCTAATATACATCGTACATATATGTGTCTGTAGTAAATAGATGGACAAATCTATGTCAGGAAAATGCAGAATATGTCGGAAAGTTTTTTGTTTAGTGTATGTATATACAATACAGACTTCGGACTGATTTAAAAAGTAGACACAATTCTATTAATAACTTTATCGAATAGAAAATTCTTAAATCAGTCGAGAGAACGACGAAAAAAAAAAAAATTATTTCCATACCACTATGTCACATAAAGTGAACAGAAAACTGGCCCGAGATAAACCGTTACTGGAAAATATCCAGTATAATGTTATTTGATGTTAATTTTTCTAAACTCGTATTTTTAAATGCAATATTCATCATGTTTTTTTTAGTTGCGTAAATTTGGTCCGACGTCGATCTACTTCATTATGTAATTCTACAATAACTACTGTAGCTATTCTGTCTAGAGATTAAACAAACTGAAAATCATGCGGTTATTGATTAATCATCAGGAGCCGAGGTAAAAATCATTAAAACATAATTAACAACAATAAATCTGGCGTTGTTTAGTTATTTTCAGGTGCATGTGGTTAGATTTGAAATAAAGCCACGGGACCAGAAATCCCATTATCTCCTTTTAAAGAGTTATTCTAATGAGCTAGTCAATCCTGACTTGGAAACATAGGCGATTTCTGATTTAAGTGTAATGATTTAAAATTACATACTTCCAACAGAAATTTTGCCATTCTACAGTCGATGTAACACCAAAATAAAAGATGTTGAAAGTTGAAATCAAAACTCATTTACATATTAAATAAAAAATAATTTTTTCACTATAAACCAGTCCGGAACTGCAGCTTATCGCTGACTATAAAACGTATCATTCAGTATTTCCATGAATGATCGATTAGTAGGTGTGACTTGCAATGTAAAGAATAGCTATCCTTAATCACGTATATATTTATATAAATACATATACATGTAATAAGGTACAAATAGGTAATGGTATCCGGATTGAAATATTGCTTAGTACAGTTTGTAAATCATTATGGGTCATTGTATCAATTTGATTATCAAACATAATGATTATCATTTATCAAAAAAAGTTGATATAATTGGGTTTTCTTTCACAGACATACACGAACTCCAATATCAATGATGTTATAATTCCCAAGTACGATTTTATATTATGATTCTACAACACAAGCTATAACCCGGGGTATAGTTTTGACACACTGACTATACTGACATGAATATCCCATCTTACATTCTATCACTCTGGAAATGCATAAAATACATTTGTAACTTGTACTGGTAAGTCGGTGAGAAGCTTGCTTTAAATCCGCGTGATGTTTTTATTTATACGTGCAGAACACATCAATAGAGGCTCCGAAAAAAGAACAATTTTGTTTATAAGAGTCAAGATCAAGTCAGTCTTAATGTCACACTGGTTCATAGCTACAGTTGTATGCCGTAATTTCTTATTCATTGTTGTTAGAAGACATCTTTGAAATGAAAGAAAATAGTTTAACGCCACACTTCATGTCTGAACCATTTTAATAGAATATTTCATATATAATAATGAATATAGTGTTCTGATTGATTCGGTTTGCTAATAATTGATTGTAATGTGTTAAACAATTGATAATTCGAATTTGCGACATTCGAGAGTCCACTTTGTTGTCATGGTTATCATGATATATTAATTACTATATTTATGGTTGTAGAGATCACAAATTTTCTAGTTTACATTACATCCTTCATATTTACCACTCTCGAATAAATTTCATTAATTTGTCGTGTATTTATTGATGACGATCTAATCATACGGATGTCATTGTATACTATGCTCATCCATCATTGCCTGGATGTGTTGGGTGTGTTGGCTATTGGCCCCCTTAACTAGTGAGAAGGCCTGTCCCGGTTAACCACACTCTACCATAATCCCTGTAATTCCCCTGTAATTCCTCGATACACTGAATCATTAAGTTCCCCATAAACCAATTATGTACTCATAATCCCATTCATCGAAACACGCTGAAAAATGGCGCAGCATTTCAAAGGAACATGCCTGCTTTGTACTGCGGGACAGATTTGAAATACAAAGGCGTCCATTTTGGATTTTCACCTTTCTCTTTGGATCGGAAATCCATCTAGCTGATACAGGTGTTGATAACACTCTAACGGGTATTTTTGAATGGACGATAGAGGAAAGGCAGTGTTAAGTCTGTTTAATCCGTGTCTGTATGATAGAAGTGAGAACAAGACTTAGTCCTCGGCTATACAGATAACGGTATCGGATACATATCATGGCAACGGGGTGAAGAACTGAGATGGAAACCAAAGAACCGAAATCCATGGTTATAGAACAAATTAGGGCTTTGATTGTGTACTGAAAAAGGATTCTTTTTCAAACTTAATTAGCTTATACGAAAATGAGTTTTTCGTATCAAAGTTAAGAATGTTTATATGCCCTTCTTCACTTTATTTAGACGTCATTTGTGAAAACTTGTTTAATGAACTGCATCGTTCATTATTCAAATACTCCTGTTTATATAATCAATACTATCTGGAGACCAGAAAGTTCTAGTATTGTTTTTGATAGGTCGACATTCGTATTGTAGGCATATAAACGCAATACTGTAATTTTAGGACACACAAGCATTATTATTCACCTTTCAATATATCACGGTCAGGGCTCCAGCGAATTTCTCAGATTATCAAGTGGTTTATTTTGTGTGCGTCAGTGCCTTGCCGAAGAAAAATCTCAATTTTTTTTTAAGTTTTAAAAGGTTACTATTCGTAATAGAAGAC